ATTGGCATGGGCTCCTTCCCATCTGTCACCACTTCAAATGGCTTGAATATGCTGATGACAGATAAAGTAATTGCAGAGCGCACGAATGACTTAATATGTGATGTGTTCAAATACCTTTTTAATGCCAAGCATTTGTATAATTTATAGCTGGAATCCACAGTTTTCATCTTGCTTCCCACTGCTCACCTACTTGCTCCCCCATTGGAGTGGCGGGAGCCCTGGCCCCGTGGCTCAGGGTATTATGGGAGGAGGTGGAAGACATGCTGCAGCGTTAGTGATGCCCATGGATCGACCTCTGAATCTCCACGGCCTTGTTCTGTGCTGAGCATGTCAACATTTTGGATGAATGAATTATTTCTTTTTAAGTTTTCCTTCTTTCTTTGGAATATATTTTTATTGATTTCAGAGTGGAAGGGAGAGGGAGAGAGAGAAACACCTATGATGAGAGAGAATCATTGATCGGCTGCCTCCTGCACACCCGTTACTGGAGATCGAGCCCGCAACGTGGGACCCTTCAGTCCACAGGCTGACACTCTATCCACTGAGCCAAACTGGCGAGGACGATGAATGCATTATTAAATGGAAGTCGGGGATTCATTTAACAACTATTTACTGAGTGCGTATATGTGTCCAACACCATTCTAGGCAGTAGAACCCAACCATGAACAAGGTGGACCAGGTCCCCGCCCTCAAAGGGTTTATCATTTAGTGAGGGAGACAGACGATAAGGAGGCAATAGCAACAAAGCACACGGAGTGCTCAGCGGCGTCTTGGTAACTTAGGGCACCAAGACCTCATCTAGGCTGGAAGTAAGCGATGAGCCTTCTGGGGGGTGGGGAGGATGAGCTAACCGGAGAGCTGGTGGGAAGCTTGGGGCAGTCAGGGGCCCTGAAGAGATAATGGAGCATCAGCCATGAGCACACACAACCCTAAGTTTGTGCAGGAACAATGCCAAGGTCACCACCCAAACATCTGCTGTGGCTACAGTCCGAGAAGAGTTGGTCATTCAATGCAAGAGCCAGTCCCTGGCCTCTGTAAAGGCTCTGAGGAGAGGGGGCCACACAGGACTGGTGGGAGGTTTTCAAAACGTGACTGTTACCGTAGTTCGCTAGGTATTAATGGAGGAGAGGAAGCAAAGGGGAGGTCGGACATCGGACATCAAGCCTGTTTGTTTCACCAGGGAGACAGCTCCCCACCCCCCAGGGAATCACAGCCTTGTCCCTCCAAGGGGATGGACACCCCTACATATGCCCTGACTGGAAATCAAACCAATGACCTCTTGGTGCCTAGGTCAATGCTCAACCGCTGAGCCACACCAGTCGGGCAGTCAGGATTTTCTAGAGGGTAGTGAGTTGTTAGGGCGTGGAGAGAAACAGAGAAAGCCAGCCACCCCAGTGCAAGCAAAGGCCAGGTGGCAGGCAGGTCACTGGCTGGTCTCAATGGTACCTGGTACCGAGGGTAATTCAGTGCTTGCCCCCCATCTATTCAGATTAATTCCAGGGGCGGGGAGAGGCCTCCCAGTGAGAGTCAGACGGGCCCAGCTGTGGAGAAGCAGGGCTGTGGGGTCTCAGAATAAGTCAGTGCCCACAGGGCTGAGGCCTGAACTGGAAACGAGCCCCTCCCTCCCACTTCACAGCCTGTCAGAACTCCAACCCAGATGGGTCCCTTCTGAACTGTGTGTGCGTGACGCCTGTTCCCTGCTTGTTTGCACACAGTCCCTGGGCAGGACTGGCCAGGGGAGCCCTGTGCACAACCCTGGGACACTCAGGGCAGCGTCCCAGCTGGGAGAAGGCCGTGTCTGCGTGGGCTGCGGCTCAGCCACAAGCTGCAGGCGGCCATGCCTCTTCACTCCTGTTCATTGTCTCCTAACCGCAGGAGGAGTCCATAAAACCAGCCGGTGCATCTCCCCCTGGCGCCCTGACAGCCTCCCCAGCGTGGGAACTCTCCGCAGGAGCCTCCTTTCGGGACAGGCCTCCTCCGGGCCCTCCAGCCCTGGCCTCCATTGCTGTCAGCTGCCCGGAGTGTCCTGCTCAGCAAGTTCAGGCAGCTCGCTGGGCGGGCAGGAGGGAGGTGTAGGAGCCTTTGGAGGGGACACCAGCTTCTCTGCTGCGGCCGAGTCCCCTCTAAGCGTAACCTCTCCTTCAGCAGTTGGTCTGGTCTCCCCTCTGCACAGGGAGCGCGCGCCGGAGTGGGAGTCAGAAGGAGAAGGACTCTGAGTCCTGGCTTGGCCTTCGCTAGCTGTGTGGCCTGGGGTGGGTCAGACCCTTCTCTGAGCCTCAGGAGGGGGTACCTGTAAAATGTGAGTTATACGCCTGTCTACTGACAGGCTGGTGTTTGCCCTGTGTTTCGAAGGTGCTAGGCACTGAGGTCCCACCTACCCTGCTCAATTTTTTTCAAAGCTTAAATCATCTCCTAAGATATAATACAGTGTATTCCTTTATTAGGTCAATTTTCTGTCCCCTAGCGCAATGGTCGGCAAACTGCGGCTCGCGAGCCACATGTGGCTCTTTGGCCCCTTGAGTGTGGCTCTTCCACAAAATACCACATGCGGGCGCACACGTACTGTGTGATTGAAACTTCATGGCCCATGCACAGAAGTCGGTATTTTGTGGAAGAGCCACACTCAAGGGGCCAAAGAGCCGCATGTGGCTTTCGAGCCGCAGTTTGCCAACCACTGCTAGCAGGAGAAGGCTAGCTTGTTGGGGAAATACTTTGATCTGTGCTTTGGGATAGAAGCTCATATTAAGGGGCACCTGGGCTTGGGTGGAATGTGCCTGGGGATGTTTGTACCTTGTCCTAAGCAGGGGTTCTCAACCTTCCTAATGCCGCGACCCTTTAATACAGTTCCTCATGTTGTGGTGACCCCCAACCATAAAATTATTTCTGTTGCTACTTCATAACTGTGATTTTGCTACTGTTATGAATCGTAATGTAAATATCTGATAGGCAGCATGTATTTTCATTGTTTGAGACCCACAGGTTGAGAACTGCTGTAAGGGAATACGGGGGAGGGTGTGTGTGAAAGGCTGAGAGGTGCATGAACTGACTCCATGGCCACCTTGCCCATATTCTGTTTCTCTGCATTCACAACGTGCTTGTATATACATCAGTTTCTAGTTGGCAATGGGGGCTGGGCTGACATCCGGGTTGTTGTGGGGCAGAACAGAGGTAAGACACACCAATGTGGTACCTACCTGGTGGCAGGCAAATTCACAGAAACCATGTGAAGGCCTTTGAACTCTTACAGGCCAAGGAATGGATTTAGACCATGTTCAAGAGAATGTTTGCAGGCCAGGGAGGTACCACGGCCATCCTGTGACATGTAGCCCATCACCAACTCCATTCTTCTTTTGGGGAGAGGGAGAGAGAGAGAGAGAGAGAGAGAGAGAGAGAGAAACAGCTTCAAACGAAGAGCTTTCCTCTGTCAAGGTCATATCTCACCGATGGTGACAAGGCTGGTTTTAAATTCCCTGTTGCCTGCTTCCAACCCATGGCTGCTCCCTCTGCGCCAGACCACCTGTCCATCACGAAAGGCTTGCGGTCTCAGGTAACAGATGAGGAATTTCATCGCGAGGGGTTGCGCAATCTGCCCAAGGTCAGACCTGGCTTCCTGCGGGTGCTGGGAATGGGCAGAGATGCCAGCAGGGCACACGCAGGCCACCGGCTGGGCCTTCGGGGCCCCTGGGAGCTGTTTTCCTTGTAGACAAATTACTCCACTTCTCTGGGATGATCACCCCTCCTAATCCTGTCTGCTAATTGCACTAATGTTGCCTTCTGCGCGAGTGGATTGGGATTAATGGGCCAGGGCTGGGCACCGGACCCTGCTTGGACGTCAAGGCTGCACCTGTTTGTGCTCGTGGAGCCCGGCTTCATCGGGTCACACTTCAAAGCCTCACCTCAGGTCTAAAGCTAAATTTAGCTTTCATCAAGTAATTGCTGAACACAAACTCATCCAACAATCATTACCCGCTCCAATTATTGATGACTAAGAAAGAATGCTCTAGTCTAGAAAGAAAGGGTGAACCCTCATTGAGATTTTAACAGCTAATCCTCTGTGCAGACAATTGTCTTCTTGAAATCCCTTGGTCTGGCCCTGCCAAGGCATGAGGGGTGAGTTAATTAAATGTTTGACCATCTATGGCAGGCGAATTTTTAAGTTGATCATTTTGTATGGCCCGAGAATGATGTTCTAAACATCCAAAGGGCCCTTGGCAGAACATAGGTTCCCCAGCCCTTGCCCACGGTAATATGCCCAAGGTGGTTCCGTGACTGTCCTGCCATGCTGTGGTGGCAGGACCTCCCAGAGGTACAAACACACGTTAGCCCGCAGCTTCTTGATTCCTCATCACAGTCTTCCTCAGAGCCGCAGAGAAAGTCATGTGTGGTGGCCTGTCGTTTGGCCAACTTGACTGTTTGTTCCATGGATACACCTTCGCGGTCCCAACCTCATGCCTACGTTCAAGCTCTCCTGCTGGCCGCCCCGAACGGCCCTCCTCTGTGTCCCGAGCATGAGGAGAGGCGTGTGCTCTGTGAGCCATGACACGCCCATTGGTCCGGCATCCCTTAGGATACGATCATTTCCCCTGCACCTAGACCTCCGATACCCTGGGAGAAACAAGATCCCCCCAAAGAAGCAGAATCCTCTCGCGTGGTCACCATTCCCCTGAGCGAGACCACCAAAGAACCGGGCTTTGACACTTTCCGTTGGGGACCTTTAGTGCCTCAGTTATCGCGTCTACCCAGTGAGGATAAAGATTGTACTGACTGACAGAGCTTCATGGGGATTAAATGAGTGATCCATGCACAGTGCTTAGTTAGCATAGAGCCTGGCACAAGTACACACACACACACACGCACACACACACACACACACACACGGATGCTCTGATTAGGGAACCCCTCTCAAGCAGGGTGGAGTCGGGACACATGGTCTGAGGTAGCTTTGCTGAGCAGCCGCCCAAGCCCTCGTCAGTTGCATGAGTCCTTCCAACCTCAGTTTTCCGACTCATGAAACGAGGAGCTGGCAGACCTTGGGTTCGTCCTGGCTCCGACATTACAGCGTTCTGTCACCAAGCTGCCTTGAGAAACCAGAAAGGAGGGGGGTAAGTTAGCATCTGGGAATTCAAGCTGCTGGCAAGGTGGGCACGGGAGGTGTCTCTGAAGCCAGTTCTAGGGCAGGTACTAGAGTGAGAAGACCACACATGATGTGAGCAATGGATCCGCATACTTACTTAGTGTCGGCTGTCTGCAAACATTGCCCACATGCATCAGCCCATGTAACCCACACCGGCTGGACGAGGGAGGCATTTTTCAGATGAGAGGCTGGTCTGGGAGAGGCTAAGTGATATTACTCATCAGCAGAAGAGGTAGCAGGGCTGGGACAGACCTGAGCGAGCCCCTGACACCTGCTTGTCCCTTGGGCCCATGTAGCTGCATGGCTTTTCTGGGGGGGTGGGGGGACCAGTATTCCAAGTGCTGGCTCAGGTCTGCTCTCATTCTTGGCTACTCCAGCTCACTGCCTCCTCTCTCCTCTGAGATTCTTCCCAGCCAACAAGTGCTTGGTGTATTTGTTACAGAGCAAACATGACTTCTGCCCTCTCAGGGCTTACATTATCCTATATAATAAAGAGCTAATATGCTATTAGACCGAACAGCAGAGCGACCGTCCAGACAACCTTCTGAACAAAGCCGGGGCTGTGAGGGCCGAGGCAGCCAGGGCTGTGAGGGCCGAGCCCCTCGCACAAATTTTGTGCATTGGGCCTCTAGTCTATATATATAAAAAGCTAATATGCAAATTGTCCACTCTGGAATTCCACCAGGAGAGCGGGAGTTCCATCCCTCACTATGACGTGTGCTGACCACCAGAGGGCAGCACGGACCATGGCAGGTGACCAGTGGTGGTGGCAGGGTGGGGGGAGCGGGGGAAGGAGGAGGCAGGGAGGTTGGAAGACCAGGCTTAAGGACCCTACCCTGTGTGAATTTCATGCATCAGGCCTCTAGTAATATGAGAAAATGAAGGAGGCAGCAATCATCATGACAGAACTTTGTCATTAGGAAAATCACCTAAGGGCACTGAGGGGGAAGGGCAAGTCAGGCATTGGGTGGGGGTAGCCACACTGGTTTAATCTAGAAAAACTTCCTGGAGGAGGAGGTGGTATGATTGATTGATGATATAAAAAGAGAGAAAAATGTAGTAGTTGAGGCTGGAGGAACTGAGACACCTAGGGTGTTTCCCTCCCACCCTGACCCTCCTCATCTCACCTCCCACGGGTCTAATAGTCCTGCTCAGGCCAACTGAGGCACAGCTCAGTGGCCAAGGCCAGAAAGAGATCCCAGGGCATTTGTTGTCTGTAATCCGAGGCCCAGAGTGACATGCTGCTCCTCCCCCACCCCATCGCGAATCTTGCTCAACCTCTTTTGCAAACGGGGCTGTCAGCAGCGAGGGAGGAGATGTGGGAAGCGCGCTTGCACACGGCCGGCCCCGGGAAGAAAGAGGCAGTGTTTGTGTGCGGCGCTCCCTCCCCAGGTGCCTGCGCAGCTCCCTGCGCTCCCATTCATGCCCTGAACCCGGGGGCTGGGCCCGGCTGCCAAGTGTCACTGCCACACACCAATGAGCTTCAGGAGGAGCGTGTTCCAGCAGGTGGCGGCTGGGGGCCAAATCCCTCCCGGTTACAATGCAATCCATGATGAAGACCAATTAATTTTTTAACAATGGGAGAAATAGCCAGAAGACTAACAAGCATTAATTATTTATTGAACTGCTGCCTATGCAAAAGCCCGGGGGAGATTTCCCTGTATGGGGACATTAATCGCTCCCACAATCTCAGCTCTTTGCTCTCCGCCTTTGCGTGGAGGTCATGCAATCGTCAGCAGGCAACGAAGACGATCCTTTAGAAAGCAAGGAGTGGCTTTTAACAGTTTCTTCCAGAGCTGCCAAAAAAACTGGTGAGAAATATAGGGGTGTCCACCTTTCTATCCTTCCATCTTTCCAGCCGCTGTATAGAAGGAGGAAGCTCTAGAACCCGACCTTCAACCCAGGCCTGCAGTTCTGACTCCCAAAGAGGCAAGCTGGGTTGAATGACTGCACGTTGCGGGAATCTGCCCCTACCTCCCGCAGTGGGCCCTGCACATGTGGGCTCAATACAGGGGAGGGGGGCTCTTTAAAAATTTTTCTTCTATTGATTTGAGGGAGAGGAAGGGAGAGGGAGAGAGATAGAAACATCGATGATGAGAGAATCATTGATTTGGCTGCCTCCTGCATGCCCCCTACTGGAGATCGAGCCTGCAACCTGACTGGGCTCTGACCGGGAATTAAACCGTGACCTTCTGGTTCATAGGTTGACGCTCAACTACTGAGCCACGCCAGCTGGGCCGGTGGGTTGGGGGGGCTCTTTTGACTAAAGACAAACCTTCTAGTCAGGGGCTGTCTTAGGAAGAATAACTTGTGAAGAATTAATTAACTAATTAATTAATATTTTAAGGTGCCTCTTAAGTGCTACCTATGCAATATTGTTACCAATGAGACTATCGGAAGTCTTACCCTAGTGCAGTGATGGCGAACCTTTTGATCTCGGCGTGTCAGCATTTTGAAAAACCCTAACTTAACTCTGGTGCCGTGTCACATATAGAAATTTTTTGATCTTTGCAACCACAGTAAAACAAAGACTTATATTTTTGATATTTATTTTATATCTTTAAATGCCATTTAACAAAGAAAAATCAACCAAAAAAGTGAGTTCGCGTGTCACCTCTGACACACGTGTCATAGGTTCGCCATCACTGCCCTAGGGTTTCTGACATATCCCTCGTTGTCAGCGGATATTGCCGCGATATACGGAGTCTGATCAGTGAGCTGGGTCTTTGGGCTCTGAGGGTTTACGGCTCAATGAGTGAGGATTTGTGGGGAGGCAGTGGCAGGAAGAAGTGGAGTGCTTGGCTTCTGTTCTCCGTCACTGACATCCCCCACCCTCCTTCAATACTGAGCTCCAAGTCCCTTTCTCTAAATCTCGCTCCACTCCATCCTGCTCTGTCCACACCCCTGGCGGGTCCTGCTCCAGGCCCGCCTTCAGGGCACCAGGCTCAGGCACATGATGGCTGGCCAGGCCCTTTAGAGGGATGCTCCGGAGGCAGGGCAGGGCTCGCATCGCTGGTCCCACCGTTTACAAGGATCCGACTCTCCCCTGAGGCAGAGGGGTTTCATGCAATAGGGCTGGGACACCCAAGACTTTTACACTCTTTCAAAAAAGCTGGTTATGAGCACAGATAATGTGCTAGAGCCCAACATTATAACAGGGTCAAGGCTTTCTCCACAGAAATGGACTCTGGAACCATATGATTACAATTGGGAGGAGTTATTATCCTATATAATAAAAGCATAGTATGCAAATTGTCCCCTCAACCGGGGAGTTCATCCAGGAGTTTGACCAGGGGGCGGGACTGGCTGGGGGAAGGGAGGGAGGCTCCAGCCAGCGCCTGGCAGCTGCTAGGGAACCTACCAGTGTGCGAATTTCATGCACTGGTCCTCTATTTTATGAAAGAACTCATCAGGTTGTATACATTAAATATGTCAGCCAATGTGCTATGACATCTTGTCACTGGGAGGCCCCACATGGTGGGGTCAGAGCAGTAGACCCTAGGAAATGACAATAACAGGAGTTCAATTCCCATATGGGGAGTAATTTGATTCAATTCTTGAACCCACCCACCCTGCCAATAACCCCTCTGACCACCAGGGGGCGAGATTGAGACTGGCCCAGCACAAGAGCTTCCCCTCCTAGAAAAAACCTTGCGAAGTGTGTATGCCCTTCTGTCCTGCCTGGAAGAGCCAACATCTGTCTCCAGAGGTCAAGGCCACCTTGAGGGCACAGGGTGCCTGGTTGCTCCACACAGGGAGGCAGGAGGGAGCTCTCTGGCTGGGCGAGTCCTGGCATCGCAGCGCCTGCTTGGAGGCCGTGACCCTGCCTGCCTGCAGTTTCTGCATTTAGCCCCACGGCCTCCCCCAGAGTCTCCAGGGAGCAGCTTGCCCACAGTTTCCCCAGCGTTTAGGCTGAAGGTGAGCAGTGAGAGAGAGAACCCATACGTGGAATAACTGAAACTACAGTGGACCCTTGAGCAACATGTGCTTGAACCGTGTGGATCCACTTCTACCCAGATTTCCTTTAGCCCTGGCCAGTGTTGCCAAGTGGTTAGAGCATTGGCCCGTGCACCGAAGGATCATGGGTTTGATTCCTGCTCTAGGGCACATACCTGGGTTTCCCGGGTCAGAGTGTGTGAGGGAGGCAACCAATCCATGTGTCTTTCTCACCTCTCTCTCTTTTCCCCCATTCCTTCTACTCTCTCGAAAAGATCAATGGAAAAAATATCCTCTGGTGAGGATTAACAACAACAACAACAACAAAAAAAAACAGATTTATTTTAATATAAACCTATACTGTTCTCCACCTGTGGTTGGGAGTCCGCTGATGCAGAGGCCAACTACTAGTATATGCACTGATCTACGCCATTTAGAGAGGGAACTTGAGCATCTGCTGATCTGAGGGGTCCTATAACCAACCCCTCATCGATACCAGGGTAGTTCAGCTTTGGGGGAGTCAAAAGTTCTATGCCGATTTTTGACAGCCTGGGGTGGGTGCCCCTAGCAGCTGCATTGGTCAAGGGTCAGCTGTATTGGGGGCTCTGTTCCCAGCTTGTGCCCCTGTGTAAGGCACTGAGCCAGAGCCTGCCCTCCTCTCAGGCAGCTGTGGCCACCTCCTTCCTGGGGCTGAGGGAGCAAGACATCTGAATCCATCTTCAGTCTGGAAGCTGGGGCCTGTCTCTGCTGGGAAAGAGCAGAGCAGCGCAGGTTCTCTCAAACCCATCTTCACACTCGGGCAAAATGGGTGAGTCAGAGGCGAACCCAGGTGCCCAGGTGCATGGAGAGTGAGAGCCAGTGCCCCTGGGAGAGAGGGCTGACTTCCCCGCCCTGCCCCGCCCCCGGGAGCTGAGTGCCACTCTTCCCACGGCAGTCCTCCTGGCTGTGACCAGCAGTGAAGCAGTTTCCCATGGCGGGGAAGCCCATGGCCTGCCCCCTCCTTTCCCTGCTCGGCTGGCGGGTAGCATCAGGAGAGGGAACCCGTGACAGGCTTGGACAGGTCCCTCTGGGAGGGGACAGGATGTGGCAGGGGAGTCCTTCCTTGGGCAGTGGCAGGATTTGGTTGCAGCATTGGTGACCGGCTGTGCGGAGAAGGCTGGGAAGTTGCCTGTCACCAGAGCTGCATTTGTTTTACTTCGAGGGTATGAGACCAGCACCCCAGCCAGTAGACGGCACACCTTCCCCATCTGATAGCCTGGAGCAGCCGCCAAAGACTGGGTGCAGGCTGGTCAGAAGGGAGGAACTTCCCTTTTGGTGGCAGAGGGGATGAGAGGAGACCAGGGTGCTCAGGGCTCTCAGTTTCCCTTCTCCCTCTCCCTGCCTAGCTGCCATCTCTGCCTTTGGTCCCAGGCACCTCCCACAAACCATCACCTCCCCTTCTCCATCACCAGCGAGCAGGTCCCCATTGGCCAGGTGTTCAGGGCTGGAAGTGACCCCAGGCTAGACCCTTGTTGGAAATAAAAAAGTGCCATGCAGCCAAAGGCTTCCAAACCCACAGCTAGGGGTGGGCCTGCCTGCTGGGGCTGTGCGAGGAGAGAGTCAAATTGCAGGATAAGTTAACTTCTCCGAATCCATGGTTTTCCAAGAGCCTAGGCCAGCATTCCTGCAAGATGAATAGCTCTTAGAGATTTACCTCACAGAATACAGAACAACATTGTATTGCATACTTCAAATTAGCTAAGAAGGTAAATCTTATGTTGTGTTCTTTCACAAAATAATAATAATAAAAGCATAATATGCTAATTAGACCGGATGTCCTTCCAGATGTCCTTCTGTCCTTCTAGACCAGGGGTGGGCAAACTTTTTGACTGGAGGGCCACAATGGGTTCTTAAACTGGACCGGAGGGCCGGAACAAAAGCATGGATGGAGTGTTTGTGTGAACTAATATAAATTCAAAGTAAACATCATTACATAAAAGGGTACGGTCTTTTTTTTCAATAGTTTTATTCATTTCAAACGGGCTGGATCTGGCCCGCAGGTCGCAGTTTGCCCACGGCTGTTCTAGACAAAGCCAGGGCTGCAAGGGAAGCCCGGGTCTCGGGTGCCAGAGGGAAGCTGGTGCCGGCAGTCGGGGGAAGGAAAACCTACTCTTGCATGAATTTCGTGCATTGGGCCTCTAGTAATAATAATACAGAGGGCAGGAGAAAAGTTTTGGACGTGATGGATGTGTTTAATGCATAGATCACGGTGGCGATGGTTTCATGGGTATATTCTTACCTCCAGACTCATCACGTTGTATACATTAAGTGTGTAAAGCTTTTTGTATGTCAACCATATCTCAATAAAGTGGTTTTTTTTTAAAAGAGTTTAAAAGTAAGGGATGGAAAAATATATGCCACGCACACCCTAATTATAAGAGTGTTGGAGTGGCTATATTAATAAAAGGTAGAGTTCAGGACAGGGAAAATTACCTCCCCCCTCCCTTCCAGTCTCTCTAAAAATCAATGGAAGAGATATCCTCAGGTGAGGATTAACAACAACAACAACAAAGTTAAGGGCTTCTGTGGAACCTCTTCCACCACCACTTACAAAATCCGGGAGAAAGAAGCCATTCTTGGGATAGCACAAAGGGCACCCCAGAAATGAAATTCCTTTGTTCCAGCATCACACAGAAGTGTACCTTATTCCAAAATAGGGAAGTAAAAATTGGAGCTATAAAAATAGAATTGTTATATTTATTTAAAGACAAGATTGCAGACAGAAAAATGATAATTTTCTGCAATTAGTCACAACCTGATATATGGTAATCTATTCATTAATAACATAAAAAATAAAGGGACTAGCATGTTAACAACATTATATCTACCTACGTGCTCCCTCCCATTTTGTCCCAATACATCCTCTCCTCCAAAGTAACCACTACCCTGAATTTTGTGATTATCAGTCCTTTAAATTTTAATATATTCTATTTTAAGAACTCTGTTTCTAAAAGCACACTTTTCAGTTTTTTATTTTAACTTAAAAGTTTTTGTAACTTTATAAAAATAGTCTACGCTGCGATAGTCTACCAGGACTTACTGTTTCATTCCCAGTTATGTTAAAGTCATGTATCTTGCTGCATGTGGCTGTGATTCATTTGTTTTGACTGCTCTATAATGTTCCGTTGTGTCATTGTGTGACTCTCAGTTTATTTATCCACAGTTCTGTCAGCAGCGTTTTGGGCTGTTTCCAAGTCTGTGCAATTGTGAGCAGCACTACTGTACATACCATTATTCATGTCTCTTGGCTTTACTGGGTTTTGTTCCAAGAAATGGATTTGCCGAGAGGTAGACGGTGTGAATGCTCAACTTTCAAAATAGCGCTGCACTCTGCTCCTAGACGGCTGAGCCACACACGTCTGCCATGGAACCCGTCTATGGAGTTGTTCATTTTCAGCGACCATGTTTCTCACTTGTAAAAGCATGATGCAGTTCTTTATCGGATTTGCTTTTACATTTCCAAACCATCTTCACGGTCTTTGTAGCTTTTATTTCTTCGCTTACCTTTCTAATCCGATTAAACATCCATGTATTATAATCTCATTCGAATTGTGTCATTGTCTCCGGGTACTGAGGTGCTAAGTCCATTTGCTGCATTTACTTAAGGTCCATGTACACTCGCTCACCCCACGGTTGTTTCTTCATGAGGTTTACAAACTTTGGTTTTGAGCTTATCTTCATCACAACATTCCCTCCTCTCCCCCTCCCCCCGCCCACCCCCCAGGAAACGTCTACTATGGCTTACGTGCCTCTATGAAGCAACTTTTCAATGGCTTCTACGGGAGCCACAGGAATTTCTAGGGTTCAGGACTTGTGTTATGTTATGTTGATGTCTTGGTTTGGAGTTCCCATGTGCACGTACAGCACACATCTAGACACCACGCCGTCCCATGACACAGGCCTGGAATTTGGCCTTCTCATACACGACTTTTTTCTTTGAACTCCATCAAAGCTTCAAATGGATGTCAAGATTCCTTGCCACTTCCTTAGATGGCAGATGAAGTTTCCTTTCCAGGGACTGGGAACCTTTCAAGTCATTGTGCTTTATCGAGGGGATTCAATTATGCCCGCTCCAGGCCATGCCCTGTGCCAAGGTAACCTGGGGCCCACAGGCAGACCTAAACTCCTCTTGGGCCATTATGATATTAGCTCCCACTTTCCACTCTCTCTGGGTTTGCGTTCTTTCTTTCCTTCTTTTGTTTCGCTGGCATTTCTATGTGCAGACAAAACAGGGGGGAAGCCCACGCCAGCGTAGGCAGGCTTGTTGCTAGATCATTACTCCTTGGATGTTTGTTAATTGATTAACTCAAGTCTCACATTAAGGGCAAACTCCTTGAGGGCAGGCACATTGTATTCATCTTTGTCTCCTACACACACACACACCATGTTTGCACCAACATTAACACATAATACGCATTTGAATGTAATTGTGAGATGCAGATGTAATTCATGAACAAATGAATGAATGAATGCTACCTGGCACCATCATCTTAATACTCCACATGCGCTTTCCAAGAAAACCCCATTTCTACATTTTATTTTTATTTTGTTTTTTTTTTTTATTTTTTAAAAATATATTTTATTGATTTTTTACAGAGAGGAAGGGAGAGGGATACAAAGTTAGAAACATCGATGAAAGAGAAACATCAATCAGCTGCCTCCTGCACGCACCCTACTGGGGATGTGCCTGCAACCAAGGTACATGCCCTTGACAGGAATCCAACCTGGGACCCTTGAGTCCGCAGGCCGACGCTCTATCCACTGAGCCAAACCGGTTAGGGCCATTTCTACATTTTATTCAAAGAGCTCCCAGGGTACAGAAAGGCAGGGTTCAAGGTCAGCCAAGGAGGGCAGGGAATTTGGGAATCCTGCAGCCCAGAGAGCTGATGTCTCTGTTCTCCAGGAAGGGAGAGGACAGGTCCGCTGAGCTGTGCCCGTTACAGGATCTGTACGCTTGATGGTTTGTTTCGGGCTGAGTGAGCCACGGCTTGTGACGTTTCAGGAGCGAGAGCGCGTTCTAGAAGGTGGCGGAGCAAAGGTGGCTTTAGTGCAAACTCTCCCAGTCTCAGCGCTGCCAGGGTTTCTCCCGCTCCGCCTCCCATGTGCCTGCTCTTCCAGTCACCAATGGGGGTATAGCACGATACAGAGCTCATGTTCTGAGTGAGCATGTGTGCACCAGTGTGGACATGTGTGGGGGGAGTTACTGCCTGTGTCCTCCACACATAACTTTGCCTCGGCACTTGCCGTCACATTGAGGCTGCCTATGTCTGCCTCTCCTGCTAACTGTGAGCTCCTTGCAGGTGTGTGCCATGTCCTTATCATCTTTGCACCCTCTGTGTCCACAGAGCAATTTTTGCTGAATCATATGATCAGACGCAAAGCCTGGGACAAGACGCCGAGAGAGTCGAGCTGCTTTTCTGGGCCAGGGTCTGTCTCTCATGTCAGTCCAAGACTCTGAAAATGTAGGAAGGATCCCCCTTACTCCCTTTCCCAATAAAAGGACAGACGCCAAAGCAGCCCCCTCCCCCCTTCCTTAGCTAATTCCCTGACAGCTGTGCGCATGGCGGTTAAGTAGGCCTAATTCCACCTCTGAGAGTTAGAACCAGTTTGAGCTTCTTCGTGAGGTGTGTGGCAATGGTGTCCCCAAATAGCTTGGGGTGATGACAGAAATCGGTTTGGGAAAGACACCTCCCTGTTTGTCTCTCAGCCTTGGGAGTGGGCCCCAGCAGGGCTCTGCCCCAACCCTGGCCTCTCTCTGCCCAGGGCTATGAGGTACTCTGAGTCCTTTGCATTCTGAGTGTGTGAAAAGAGCAAAGGGAAGGTGAGTCAGAGAAATAACTCCCAGGGCCAACCTCACCCTAGAATTGTTTCATTAAAACGGGGAGCTCAAGAGGGGGGCAGAACCCTTTGCCAAAGTCTCTGCACTGTTTCAACTTGCCTCTGAGTAGAGGACTCAGCACACACTAGCAAGGCTGGCAAAGAGAGAGAGGCTTGATTTACGGAGCCCTCCGCGCCCCAGGAAGATACAAACACCGTCAATCGAGGTTCATAAGTACTCACACACATGAGCCCTTCTGCTCCTCTGTCTGCCTGGCCCCCTGGAGTAAATTTCCAATGGGCGACAGGCCCTTCTAAGAGGCAGGGTGGCCAACACGTTTCCCAGATGCCACTGGGCCAGGCAGACAGGGAGCTGAGTCAGCTTCTGCTCTCCAAAGTGGGGATCCTGACTCCACTGGACAATTTTCACAACGGCTCCGGCTCTGGCACCAGCTCTAGGGGCTCCTGTCAGCACTAGGGTTTATGTTGTTTAGAGAGACAACCCCAATTTTCACAGCTTTCTGGTGAAACATCTGAGTTTCTACAAACTTTTTTCAGATGGGCTGCCCAGTGAACAGCGGCCCACTGCCCCAGAACTCTGGAGTGTGCCCCATGTTTTTCTGATAATGGCGACTCCGGAATTTCTGTAGGAGCGAAGCCAGGGAGTTTGTCTTAAAGCTGGATTTTTATGAACCATCAGCTTAGCTAATTAGAAATGATCATCAGAAAGGAAACAAATGTCAAAGTGCCATTGATGAAAAAAATACTTTGTGTACATCCATGAGATACACCCATGGGTTTTAGGGAAATGGAATTTGGGATTTCCTTTTTTTATAATCAGTTATTCTAGTTGTATTTTATACCATTTGCTTGGCTTAGTTTCTTTCTATATTATTCTGTGACCTCATAGACTTGGGAATTTAAAATACATATCTATTTATTTTACTTACTTGCTGACTGAATTGGTTGGGACGTTGGGTATGAGGTTGAGTAGATGAGTGTGGGGTAAGTCATATTGGCCTGCCAGTGCCCCTTGACTCCCTGGGGCCCTGGGAGGGATGTCATTGTTTTAGAATTAGCTCGACTCTACCTAAAGCAAAAAACGCAAAGCATCAGATTGAATCTAGGAGCTTAAGAGAGCAAGTCACTGCTTCTTTCCAGATTTCAATTTCCTGTAAAATGAAGTGGTTGGCCTGGATGATTAAGGCCTTTTTCTGCAGGCTCTGCCTAGTGACCCGCCCGTCCATCCTCAGCGGAGTGGGTGACAGGACCTATTAGATTGTTTTCATCTCTCCCCTCACTTACTATAACCCCACAGCAAGTTCTTCCGTGTCTCTCTGATTTCATGTTTTCTAGATGCAAAGTAGGGACACCTACATTGGCCTCTCCTCCCATAAGTATTGGCAAGGAGCCTGAGCATCTGACAGGAAAGGCGATTTGGCCCATTCCTTCCTGAAGAATCTCTAGAGCACAGCCAAATCTGGGGAGGAAGAGCTACCAGAGCAACAGGGGACACTTTCTCTTTTTGGAAGAAGAAAAGAAAGGAGAGAAGAGTAGCTCACACATGGGACCTCACAGGACAGCCTGGACCACAGGGTAGTGGGCATCTACCCACCTGTCCCCATGGGGCCTTGGTTACTCTTACAATTTCAGAGTGTCCAGCGGAAGGTCTGCAGAGATTAACTCAACAGCCATACTCTTGGAGGATGATTGAGCTATGATGAATCGTTATTAAGCCCGGGGCCATTTTTCTTCAACAGTTAACCCAAAGGGAGCCTGTTAAGGGCACAAATTCAGAGTCCAACCAAATGAAATAAACAAAGGTGCCGCCTACCCTCTGAGAGTCTATAATCTCAATGAGACAGCACAAACTCCCAATGGGGGCAACAAATCCCGCACAGCCTTCAGGAGCATTGAGTCTAGTGTGGATGTTGAGTAGATCAGGTCAGGCACTTGATATACTCAGGATGGGGTGTGGGCTGTGGGGTGAGATATGGGGCAGCGCTCTCAGCAGGGAGAATCGCTAGGCAGTGCCAGGCAGTCAGGAAAGCTTCCCTGTTGGAAGGAACTCCAGGAGGTCAACGGGGTTGACTTGACGTGGCAACTGGGAGGAGAAGAGGTAATGCCGGGAGGTAGTTCAAGGCAGAGTGGACAAGCTCATCCAATGAAGACCAGCATGTTCCAGGGCCTTAACCTGTGTGGCTGCTTGAATGGAGAAGCTGCCAAATTGACTTCTTTCTCTCCTTATTCCCATGTCTCAGGAAATCCCACTTCCTCCACACAAGACCTTCCCAGGATGTGTCCACTCAGAGCCAGCATCTCCGCCTTGGCCTATGGTGTTAGAACGCAAATCGTCAGGTTACATTTGCTCTCTGCCTAAATCTGCACTGGCCTCCGGCACATATTTACATGTTAGTGGCTTGGTGAATTATACCTACTGTGTTCTGTCAGCAAGTGGACAGCACAGCTCAGAGAGACGTAGGAAGTTAGAGGAGGAGGACTCATCTCACAGATGAGAATACTGGGGCCACCAGCAGTTCTGCAAAACTTGTCAGTGAATTTAGGAACACCGACGTCAGTCATGCTTGTCAGCGCCGTGCTGTTACCCCACGGCTTTGGGTCCGCCTTCCCAGTGTGCTCCATCCCAGCTTCCCTTCCCTGCCCAGGGCAGCCCCTGCCCTGTACGTGTCCCCAGCACTT